GGGTCGAAGTCTACCCCTGCGTTTTGGGCAGTTCAAGTACGCCTGTTCGACGACTTCGCTGTCAACTCTTCTGCTACAGACCTAAAATACACAACAACCCTTTTCCCTTAACAAAAAAACAAAACCCAAAATACCAAAAAAAGCAAAACCAAAAATATCACAAAAAACAAAACAAAAAAATACCAAAAAAAACACCAAAAAAACAAAAACAAAACATTAATTCAGAACTCGTCCGTTTGTACATATTTCTGGTTATATTCTGGAAGAGTTCTAAAACAATGGTTTTTTTGTTTTTTTATATATTTTCTTGGTTTTGGCTTTTTTGGTATTGTTGGTTTTGTTTTTTTGGTAATTTTGGTTTTGGTTTTTTGGTTGTGTCAAGGGAAGGGGGCTGTCACTTTTTGGGGTTTTTTTGTCACAGCAGCCCCCCTGGCAGCAAGAGTTGACACTGATGTTGTCGAAGAGGCGTAACTGAACTGCCGGAAATGCAGCAGGGGAAATTACGTGGTCCGGCAAACTCGCCCCATGTCGTGTGCCTTTTTAGCTTCAACTGTAGTCTTCCAAGATGACACGGATCAAGATATGGCATCGAGGTACTATAACTGACAGTTGCAGTTAAATTAAATATCGACTGTCGCTTTAACCTGTGTTGTCTAGAACAACTTCAATTCAAAATGCAATTATATTTCGCCCAATTCTGTATGTTGCACGAGAGGTTAGTCATTGGGGAATTAGACAACAAATATAAGGACACCTTAAACAGTATTGTTGGATATTGTTGCTGGAGCAAAGATTGCAAAGTTGTTTAGAAGCACTCGGTGTTATGTATGTTTCTATAACTTATTATGGTGTTATCTCTTCATTATATGTCAGTTATCTGAACACGTATTACACAATGCCCTATGTTCCAGTACAAGTGGTTTCAATTGGTATGAACACTAGGCTGTAGCCTTTCGCCGTACTGTGCATTTAAGTTGGTGGGGCCAGCCCAACAAACATACTTATTCTTATACTAGAGGTCTTAGGACAACAAACAAACTACACAGTTTAGATGTACCTATCAAGTATAATACTTCGATATCCACGTTTAGGGTGCGCCATTTCTTGTATGCGCAAAAGTTGAGGACCAATATTAACCAGCTGAATAACGAATTGAACTTCCAGGTTCTGTTAACTGCTACAGGTTTGGCTTGAGATTCGTTGTTGCGATTTACCCAATAAGCTGCTTACTAGAATTACTAGAACCAGTACAGTAGAACCTTGGAGGCGTACATGTTTGAAGAAGGGCCAAAATAACCTGGAGAGGTCTCGCTGCAGTTAAGTTTATTCATGGAGTGCTTGGCCAGTTACCATCCACGAAGAGATAGAACATTATATTTATCATAACTGACAGTCATACTACTACACTCACGGATAATGACATACTTATGTGGATTACTGACTATAGAGACGGTAGTTATTATGTTGATAACTAGATAATTGGGTATACTGACTCCTTGGAGCAATTCAAGCACAATATTTGCTGAGTCAGACTTCAGAGTTAAGTATACTAACAACATAAAAAAAGTTTGTCGTCTGCCAATTGATCGAAATATACAGCATATGTATCTACATATACCTTCACAGCATAGTTCATAGTAATATCTCTAGGGATAATGTATACCTCAAAGAAAACGTATTTTATCAGGTATAGAAGTAGTACATAGTCTTTTCTCAACCACATAGATAATTAACCGAGTAGACTAAATCCTCGGACCTCTTTAGGCGGAGTGCTTGTTAACTAAAAGCAACCCAATTTGAAGATGACAATAATATAGTGCATTTGGCACTCTTTCCAACAAGTGAACCGAACACGTAATGATTTTACAATGATTACTAATTAGTCATATTACTGCAATCAGGGATACTAATCTTATATATTCATGCATAGACTTCTACCTATATTGACATTAAATATGAGATTTCCATTCCTCAATATATAGTTCGATAGATTGAACCCTCGAATATATTCATAGACGTACCACTGAATAAAGGACTTAGTTAAGACATGAAATTTTAGAGACGCTTACAACGAGTCGTGTATTTCCATGTTGCAACTTTCTCATTGTCTTCCTTATGACCCATACGCACGTATTACACGTATTCCTAAAATATGCAAAACGCAGGGGTAGACTTCGACCCCTGAACCGCAGAAAAGACATGAGGCTCCAACCTCGTGTGCGAAAGGAGCAGGCGGAAGGGACTTCCAGAGCTCCTTTCAGACTCTAACTTGCGTGGCTTTCAATTCAACTTTCGACTTCTGTCCTGGAGCCATGTCAGAAAGCATTCCTCGAAAAAGCCGTCTACCTCTGCACTGTGCTGCCGAGACCTTCAATCCAGTACACGGCAGATCAAGGCCGCCACGTGTAGGGCTCCGAGATGAGCCACGTGCTCTGGCAACGGCAGTCTCACCGGAAGTACCGGACACCTGTGGCTGCCCACTGGGGCTCTTGGAAGTCGGACACATCGAAAGGTGACCGGCCTAGGCGACGGCAGCATCCGAAGGGCTGAGGCTGAGGGAGCGAGAGCCGGAAGGCCGCCACCATGGCAGGGCTTGGCCGGGTCAGCGCCCCAGGAAAGAAGCAACTGGCAAGGTCGAACTCATGTCAAGTGAAGGACTTGAACCTGAAACCTGGCCTCAACCACGTCTCGATGCCCTTCGAAGGCTGCCAAAAAGAGGGGCGTCTGACCGTACTCGTTGGGCGAATCGATGTCCACCCCGGCATCCAACATTGCTTGGACTCGTCGAATATCTCCGACTTCGGCCGCTGCTCGGAAGCGCTCGGAGCGGTTCTTCCGTGTGACGCCGAGCTTTTCCGCAGCCACCTCGCTGGGACTCAGAGCACGGAAGGCGCCGGCCAACGGCCGCTTTGCCTTCGCCTTAGCCTTGGCCGAACGAAGAGACGCGTCTCTGTAACCCAGGCATTTTAGCAAGGGCCTCCAAACGGGTGTGCAGAGTGTCAAAATTGCAGAAAATGCTGGAAGGCAAAACTCCGAACTTCCAGCATTTCCATGTTTTGGCCTGCTGGCCTCCAGAGCAGCTTGCAGTTCAAAGCGCTCTTCCATATCTTCTGGTATTTCGTCCGGCAAGGCCTGCCATTTCTTGAGAGTTCGGCGCCGTCGCAGTGTCTTCTGCCCATGTGTTCTTAACCAATCTGGCAAGAAAAAAACCAAACTCTGCAACTCTGCTTCTGGCTCCTGGGTGAAGGAGGACACTTGACTCACCGCGAAGCTGCAGTTGATGCAGCAGCACGACCCAGGTGCATTGAGACAGCCGCAAGTCTTGCAAGGGACATGTTCAGCAAGAGGACCAGCAGGACCGTGCCTGATGATGCCCCGCCGCTGCCCCACGAAACTCAAAGCAGGATCCTGGAACGATACACCGCAAACAGGACACAGCAGTTCCGGCACTTGTCCATAGCCAAACCCGCGAAAGGCGCGCCAAGGACACAGAGGACAACAGCGGTGCGCACAGGGCGAAAAGACCCACAGAGATGCGAACTGCGAATTGCCGTCTTTACAGATGCAGTTCGCACCAGACAGATGCACAGACGCAGCTTGGCCAGCTAGCCTGGACAGGGCAGCGGCACGCGCCAGCCAAGCGACATAGGACCTGGGCAGCTTTGCCATGATGCTGGCCGCGTCGTCGAGGGCTTTCTCCGTTGGATCAGCATTGGCAGCGACCAAAGCAGAAACGAAACTGTCCCGGCCACGCCAAGCTGCAAAGTCCAGCAAAGACATCTTGGGCACACCACAGCACCAAGGGGCTTCGTAATGTCCGTTAAGTTCTATAGCGGCCAAAGCAGCAATCCCGAATTGCTGGACCTCGCCTCTGTCAATACATACAAACAACTTCTGCGCCTCCTCCGCCGTCAGCGACCTTCAGAGGCACAACACCCCCCCCATCAGCCCATCATCCACCATTTTTAGTTTAAAGTATCGACAACCTGTGACTACCCTCACCCTGCCCTCAGCCTGCGATCCACTTGGCCTCGCTCAAGAAGCTGCTTGACTCTTCGCCTTTGGAGGGCTCAGACGCAGCTCAGACGAAACCTTTAGTTCCCTTGACTCCTTGTGTCCGCCATGTGCAAGCGTGAGCAAAGCTTCGATGACGAGAGCTATGAGTAAGGTCCCTGCGCTTCCTGCCGCCGTTTCTGCTCCCGCCCCATTGCCCATGCACATGACATGTCATGGCACAGATCCTGCTGACCGGATACATGCCATTCTGCGCTGAGGTGTGGCTGCCTCCTGCCGCATCCATCTAGCCTTTTTGCACAGCTTTCTTGCAAGCGCCTGTACAGGGTGGCTTGCCTGGCAAGGAGTTTCGGGCGGGCTCACGCGCTGTCAGCCTCGGACATGTCGGAATATCAGAAACGCTGTCAACACTGCTGCACACACCGCACACCTCCCCTCTGCGCAGAAGTAAGTACCTTGGCACTTAGTTTTGCAGGCACTGGTGACAGCACCCGAAATTGCGCGAAAACCTTAAACTGTAAGGTAGCAGCCCGCGTGGTTTCCCCGTTGCTCGGTTGAGGCTGCCTCACCGTGTCCCATGGGCTGTCGCTCCGCAACAGGAGGCAACACTGAGCTCGATGCACATTGACTTTGTCAACGTTTCAAGCTTGACCTGCCAAATTGGACCGTGGGTCGCCCACAACGGCCCACAAGGCATTGAACGTTTCAAAGTTCCCGGCCCAGTGGGGGGGTAGTCGCGTGTCGTTGGTGTCCAGGATGAGGACATGGCCATCGCTCCAACCTGCTGGTCCACCAGTGTGCCACCACATAGACGGAACACCTTCATAAGAACAAGACCTGTTGCATGAGCATCTGAGTCCCCCTACCTCCTATCGGGCTCCAGTGGCCACCCCCCAAGCGAGTGTAGTTGACCTTGGACTTCCCCAGTATTCACCACTGAAATATTTTCTTTGAGCAAGCATGATGTCCCTGCTCAGTCCTGGGTGCCACGTATGCCTGCTAGGCGCGGTGCCAAGATGCAAATCATCCCACCTGTGGCAGATGGGAATACCATCGAGAAGACATGAAGCCGTGACACCTCGACACCCTGCCTAGTTCGAAAGCCTCTGCAAGGTCTTGTCGAAGCTGGTCAGAAATCTGAGCCTGACCGTCACACCGTGCCAAGCCGAACAACACCTCGTTGACTGATTCGGTCGGCTTGGGAGTGAAACTGCAAATCAACGGACGCCGGAAGCTGACATCTCCTCACAAAGACTGAAGTGGCAGTCAGCTTGTGTGCTGGTATCTGCTTCGTAGCGACTCCATCTTGTCGACATCAAGCATCTCACCCAGTCACTGCCAAATCAAATGTTGAGGTTTCAAGAACGTAACGAAAGGACATTGACATTGATGTTGTGTGGCTGGCGAAATGGGCTTGCCCTCCACGCCTTCGATTGAGGGAGGCTCTCAAGGAAGCAATGCCGCTGCACATGCGCATGCTGCACATGCACTTTCCCAAAACAGCACGGGCAGAGATAGAGCAGGAAGAAAAAACTACCCCAATTGCCCACGAAATGCATCCACAGTTGGTGTAAAGTCAAATCATCAAAGATGCTGCTGCTCCCTACCCCGAAACTTTATCTCTTGTCCCTCTATGTTCCCCGCACCGAATTCACTTCGCATCTCTGACGGTGCTCTCAGCTGATTGTGGTCGACACCTGCCTCGTTGGAAGAACTTCTCTCGCTGATTCGGAGCCTGCAAGTGCAGAAACAAGCACCCACTGGCAGACCCACTGGACAGAAAGCACCTTCCATGCCCCAAAACCTGCAGCATGATGGAGCAGTTCTGGAAGCTCAGGCCTGGTTCCAGGACCACACCGAACTGTTCTGCACCTGGCCGAGTCGGCCGACCTTGTGTGAACAGACCGTGAGGGATGATGACCTGCACTCCACCAATCAGCAAAACACAGGGTGCAACAACAGCCAGCACCAGCACAAATTTAAACACGACTGACTCTCCAATCCACTCCCCAGTCAGAGCGAGACCCAGGGACCCAGAGAGAGAGAGAGAGAGAGA